CGGTTCGCGCTCCTCGGGGACCCGGCGCTTCCTCCTGCTCCCGAGCTTGACACTCTTAAAGATACTTTAAGTAGTCTGAGAAAGACCTGCCCTGGAGATTGTTACTTTTGTCCTTTTTTTTTTTTTTTTTAAACTTTTGTCCTTGACTAGGAGTCTCAGCTTTCCAAATTGGGAGATGGGGGTTCAGTAGCAGGGTAGGAAATTTCTTTTCTCCCCTTCCATCTCCTTTCCAATCTGGGCCAATCACTTCAAAGGCAGCCCTTCCCCCAGCAGTTCCACAGGTTTTGTGGGCTGTTTCTTTGTTTCCCTCATCTGTCAAGAGAAGGGCTGCCAACCTGTGGCTGACCCCGTTTTGACAAACCTCCCTTCACCAACATTCCTTACCTGATGGGATATGCTTTTCTCCTGTATTTCAGTGAGAGAGACGACTTACCTCTCACTGAAACAAGCGGTCTTGTCTTTTTGTTTTTGTTTTGTTTTGTTTTGTTTTGGCTTTTCTTGTGGAGGAACAACTCTTTCTGCTTGGTGAATTTATTTTTCATCCCATTCTGCATAGCTTAAATGCCTCCTCCCTCGACACCATGATGGGCACATCCTAATCCTCTGAGATGAGGGTACTGTGTTATCCTCATGACAGTATGCCATTTTCCTGTTCTGAAATTAAGAGTTCTTCCTCTATCTGAAGCTCACTGCTGGAGAACAGAGACTCTGAAAGGCAGTAGGAAGGGGATGAGGGCCTTGAGAGGCAGGCAGAATCCGGTGGGGTGGGAAGTGGGCCGGGGAGGGGATCACTCCTTCAGGGCTCTCTGGGTTTGAATTCAATTCTGGCTCTACCTTAAGCAAGTCAGTTCACCTCTTTAGGCCTCACTTCCATCTGTGTGATTCAGAGCTCTGGGCAGGGAAGCTGTTGATACCTGTTGTGTAGAGCTGCTGCAGGGGTTCCGTGAGTTGACATACACCAAGCACTTAGAACCCTGCCTGCTACAGAGTAAGTGCTTTTTAAGGACTAGCCATTACCACCATCGGGCTTCCCTGGCAGATGGTAAAGAATCCTCCTGCAGTGCAGGAGACTGAGTTCCATCTCTGGGTTGGGAAGATCCCCTGGAAAAGGGAACGGCAACCCACTCCAGTCTTCTTGCCTGGAGAATTCCATGGACAGAGGTGCCTAGCGGACTACAGTCCATGGGGTTGCAAAGAGTTGGACACAACTGAGTGAGTGCCTTTCACTTCACTGCCACTATCACCATCACTCTTCAAAGCTGGAACACTCATCTCTCCACCCCGCTTGCAGTTATGGCAGTGTTGCTTGGGCAGACCCTACTGAAGACGGGTGTTCTGAGCCTGAGACTGGGTGTTGGGCACAGATACCCCTAGAATGATTTTCCACATGACACTGTGTGTCAACACATCCTGACCATTTCCCAGGGGGACAAACCTAAGGGTGGCCTGAATTTTTATCCCAGAGTACCTGGTACCTCTTTCTACTCATACCCTTACTACCTGTTGAGTACTGTTGGCCTCTCCTACCTGGCGATGACCTCTTTTCACCTCTACACCGCCTGCTCTTTCAGCTCTAAGTCTCCAGCACTTCCTCTTCCCCTCAGAGAATGGTGTTGCTGTTCACCTAGCTGCTCAAACTACCTTATTCCCCACAGGACCAACAACTTCTTACATGGTCTCTGTTTTATGTATGTTTTTATCCCCGTAAATCATTCTTCTTAAGAGACAGGGAAAGCTTCCAAAAACAAAGAAAATAGTAGCGCTAACTCATTCTTCTAATTAGAACCATGAAGGCACTTCCTGTTGCCCTCAGGAAGTGAAACGTCACAGTGTGGCTGGCGAGGGTCTCCTCCTGTTAGCCTCTGTCTGCCTCCCTCAGCGCCCCCTGAGCCCTCTGCCCTCAGCCGCCTGCAGCGACCCCAGACTCCTTCTGGTTTCTCAGACTGCAAGTGCTTTTCTGCTGCCCACGCGGACGCTAGGTAGCAGTCTGCCCCTCAGTCTCATTGTTCTGGCTTCTCTCTTCTCAGTTACATGGCATTTCACCCATAAAGTGTTTCTGACTGTCCCCTCAACGTAACTTCCATCACCACAGCTGTCACTGGATGCCACTCTGTTTTCCTTCTTGACATGTTAGGAATTCCATGCAGGCCCCCAATTCACCGTCTTGCTCACTGCTGAATCCCGGCCTGAGCACAGTGGTTGGCATGTTGAGAGCTCTAAAAAGAGGACTGACATGTTTTCACTGTGTTTGTGGTCTCTCCTTGTTCCATAGACCACCTACCTCCCTGTCCCGTCTCCTCTTATCAGGTACCTCTCCCCCTCAGAGCTGGTGTTTTCATCCCCTTCATGAGCTCCTGCCCCTCAGAGGGTTTCTGCAAAAACTTTCTGGAAGGATCACATCTCTTACAACTGCCTTCATAAGAACTTTTGTTTTATTATTATTATTTAGAAATGCAGTTATATACAGAGAACAATTAAAATTAAATTAAACTTTGTACAAATATTAAAATACTATCTTCACACCCACTGCAATGTACAGGATACCAAAAAATATATATATAAAATAAAATAAAGCAAACCCAAACTGATTGAGTGACATCCTGCACAGTCAATGATGCGTGTGTCATGTGAAACAATTGCTGAGATTCCATAGTGGTGTGACGAGCCGCCAGGCCACCCTCAACCCTCTCTTCTCCCTGCCTGGCGATCCAAGTGCTTTGCCCAGGCGCATCCCCCCAGCTCCTAGCACAGGGCTCAACCTTGGGGGTCTCGTTCAAAATTCTACTAGATTTTCAATTGGTGGTTAAGAGGAGCTGCTTCCCAGGAAAGCTGAGCCTGCCTTTCCCTCTCTAGGGAACCGGCTACTCTACCACTCGGCCCAAGAACCTGCCACACGAAATCCTCCCCGAGCCCCCTCACTGGACTCCAGTGGCAACAGGCCCGGTGCTGCAGGCCAGGAGCCCCGGCAGGCTTCAGGGGGGCTCCTGGACTCTGTCCTCGGCAAGCACATCCGGGACGAAGCTGTCAGCCTGTGTCCTTCCCCTCCTGGGCCCTGTATGTTCAAGGAGGGGGGGAAACAAACAAACAAACAGGCAAGGATCTAGAAATGTCTGCAGCATTTTCCACTCTCTATGTAGGAATGCTCCCTGGGAAGGGAAGTGACATTGTTATGTGGGAAGCGAGTGGTTTGAGCTCCATGGGGGTGGGGACGGGAAAGGTCGAGTGCTAGGGCTCCTGTGCCACCACTGACTTAGCAGGAAAAGTATACCTTTGTCTGGCCATCAGCTTCTCCACGAAGCTCCACGGCTGGGGGAGGGGAGGAGGCGGCAGGCAGGAAGAATGCGGATGAGACATGAGCTAAGTTCTGTTTGCAAATGGAGTGTTGGGAGGATGTACGTTGAAATGCCTTATAAAACCAAAAGAACTCACAAAGTGGCCAGGACTTGGCCCATTTCACAGTTCACACCCAGTGAAATGGGAACACAGCACGCAAAACTCAAAAATGGCAAAAGATAGAGCCTACCTGCTGAACTAAGGCATTGAAAATGTTAGAAATTTTAAGTGATTTTTTATCATTTACTGGCCCTTGAAAGTCACTGGAATGTGACTGCAAGTTGCCAAGATATAAAACCTGCACTGAGTCAGCCCATGTACACAAATAAAAAGAAAAAACCGCTTCTTAAAAGTCCTTTGGTGCCGACCGTTTCTGCTGTACAAGTCCTCTGCTGGGCTCCCCTAGAGGTGAGCCGGGGGAAGCCAGACCGGGGCAGCTTTCCCCACTGCTCCAAGCCCCTCTGGTGGCCCCCGACACCACCTTGTCTCTCAGCCAGGCCCCACCCCAAGGCCGCTGTGGAAGCCCTGATCCTTCACAAGAAACAAGGGCCAGACACTCTAGAAACAGCAGTTCATGGCTGATGTGGGAGATGAGAACTACTGCAGGAAGCCGTCACAGGAGTAAGCAGGGAGGTGAGGCTGGCCCGGCACCCACAGGCCAGGGGCCTTCAGGAGGCAGGCCTCATCAAAGCCAGGGACAGGGGAGCAGGGGAGGGGACCTCCCAACTTTTATCTCCTCCCTCCCAGGTGGCAAGTCTGGGCTTGTGATCCCTGGGGTGGGTGGGCAAGGTGGAAGAAGGGTTCAGAAGGCAGGCTTTTTCATTTTTTTCAAGCGCCAGGCAGATCATCTCTGTGACTGGATAAACCACAAACAGAAAGTGCAATCTCATGGGGAAAACCCCCAGAGTACTTATATAAAAAAGGGTAAGAGCTCTGTTTAAAAAAATATTCTAGACTCGAGTTCAGGTGCTGGAAGATGGGGAAATGAAAGCTGCAGGATCAGCAGTGAGACTCTGGAGGCCCCCCAGCTGCCCACAGGGCCTTGCTCCCTTCTGGAGGAAGACAAGGGCACCACGGGTGGCGCACAACCTGTGTGGGCTGAAGTGACTGGGGTCATGGGGACCCTGCCCTCCAGACGGGCCCCAGGCCAGCCACGGCTGGCAGGTGCATCTCTGGACACGGCCTCTTTGGAGGCCAAGGGCAGGCCTGCTCCGTTCTGCACTTTCCCTCGGGCACCTCCTCCTCGCGGGCCAGGGCCGTGGGCGCCAGGTGGGGAGGACAGAGAGAAAGACGTTTGGCAAGCACTGCCCTTACCTGAGAGGAAGGAAGACGACAGGGGTGCAAGAGGCCGGGATGAGCGGGAATAAAGTGCGTGTGTTGAGCGAGGGGGCGGAGGCTGAGAGAAGGCCCTGCGTGTCCCTCCTCTCCAAGGCCACGGGAGCTACCCTGTTAGGTCAGGAACCGAAAACACACTGGGCTCCAGTCTTCTCAGGCTGGGGGAGGAGTGGAGGGGCAGTGCTTCAGGAACAGAAACAGTAATAAGCACTCCTTACTGCCACATCTCTGTGAAGAGGTAGCAGCTCTGCTGGGCCCTGCCGCTGCCCCGGGCAGAGGGAGCCACTCCTTCCACACCAGGGCCCTGGAGCCAGGCTGCTCCCAAACCGTCCCTACCAGCCAGCGCTTGGGGGGGGGTGGGGGTGTGTGCTGATGTCTCCAGGGCCCTCCCCTGGAGCTGGGGAGGTCGGGGGGGGGGGGTCGTCTGTCAGCAGTGGAAGGTGGCAGGGGAGGGCGGGAGGAGGAGCAGCAGCAGCAGTGAGCAAGCGGCAGCACGCTTCCCGGGCACAGTTACTAAGGCACGTGACTGCGGTGATGAGGACCCTCAGGGCCAGGCCGGAGCTGCCTGCAGCTGCCTGGGGGCTCGGTCGGCCCCTCAGGCCCCCTTCCATCACCACGAACCCAGGACGAGACCACTGGCCCCCGATGCCAGTGACCAGCGGGGCATCCCAAGGCATCTCAGAACTATCACGTCCCACGGGGGACGCCACCAGCCTTGGCCGGCAAGGAAGCCAGGGCTGCGTGGCGTCACACCCAGGAGGCAACAGGCACCTTCCCCTTCAGCTCCAGGGAAAGAGGAAAAAAAAACCGAGGCCAGGAAGGCCAGATGCTGGAAGTAGGAAGTGAGGACTTGCATATTAGGAAGACAAATCATTAACAGCCACCTTCCTCCCCTCCCTTGGGATCTTCTGGACGCTTCTCAGAAAGTCACCAGGGCCAGGAGCTTCCACATGTGAGCTAGACAGCTGGGCCTCGGGGCGACTCCTCACAGCCTCGGTCCTCAGCCGAGGCAATGTGCCACTGCTGTCGGCCAAGGTAGGCCCGGGGCCCCACACTCTGGCCCCAGCTGAAGCCACCTTCGGGTCTGCTCCTGCTAAGGGCAGTGGTGCCAGCCTTCAGAGCGAACGGGCCAGACCCAGGCCTGGGCCCCTGAGCGGGCAGCGGTGCAGCCATGAAGGCTCGTAGGACAGCAGCTAGCCTGCGTGACCAGGAAACCGGACGGGCTGGGGGGAAGGCACAAGTAAACACGGCGCGCTCGGGCCCACATGGGCTGGCGGGGCTGCCGCCCAAGAGCTGGCTGCAGGGGACCCGGAGGGCTCCAGGAGGGAAGGGTCCAACCCAGCACGTTCAGATAGTGTTCCCGACACAGGTGGGAAGGCGAGGCCGGGCAGGGAGCCAGTTCCTCCAGCCTTCCAGCAGGCAGATGGCGACACTCTTCCTGGAGTTTCTGGCAAAGTGGGCCTGTGGGCCCTCGGAGGTGCGGAGATACACAGACATACAGGTGGGCAGCTCGGGTCTCCGGGCAGGGCGGCTGGAGGACATGGCGCTCAAACCCACAGGGAGAGGAGGAAGGGCAGAGAGGAGAGAAGCCCGTGGCAGCCCTCATGCTTCTTTCAACAGTGGGATATCTGCGGGCGGAGGAAGATGGAAAGCACAGTGGTTACCCCGTGTGGGTGACGGCAGCACAGCTGACCCCGCTGCGGGGACCCCTCACACACTTCTAGGTAGTCTAAACCCCTCACCCCTTCTCCAGGCCTTCCTTGCTCATCTGTTTGTCTGTGTGACAAAAGCTGAAGAGTTAGTCCAGTATTCAAACCCTTTCTGGTCCTGCCACACGGCACCCTCTTCTCTGCTTTGATGCTGTTGGTTTAGTTGCTTCTCTTTCTACCCTTATTCTCATCCTGTGAGGCTACTGAGCCCTGGTAAGTCTCACCTCCTTCTTAAAGCCATCCTCCAGCTGTGTGATTCTGAGTAAATCACTCCCCTTCTCTGGGTCTCAAGTCATCTCACACGTTACCTGGGTTAGACTGATACCTGAAGGGCCTGGCTTCCTTCAGAACTGCCTGCCCTGGATAACTTGGGCTTAGCCTGCAACCAACTCAATAACCTATGTGTCTGGTTTTGTGCACCCCTCATTCTGACATACCTATTCAACTGACATGAATGTGAGCAAACTCTGGGAGATATGGAAGACAGAGGACCCTGGCGTGCTGTAGTCCATGGGGTGGCAAAGAGTCGGACACGACAGCAACCGAACAACAACATTCTGACATGGACCCTACCATTTTTGGCTCCATTTTTTTTCTCAGGTATATGCTCCATCTTCCCAACTGACTGACAGTCCATGCATGCAGAAAGCATGTTTCATGAGTCTTTCCATCGCACCTGAAACCTAATCCAGTACCAGGCACAAGATGGGCTCTGTCTGAATAATGCGTGTTCAACACGTGGAACAAAGCCAGGGGACAAGGAGGAGAAGGGAGAAGAGCTGGCACCCCAGGGCTCCTTAGGAAGGTCAAGGGCTAAGGTCTATGTCAATATGTGCCGACACACAGCATGTACAGCCGGATGCCCCAGGGGTCACTGGCTTCCAACTTTAAATCTGGCCCAAGTATTTAATGGCCCCTTCCTAGCTCTACATCCCACCAAGAAAATAGGAGGCATACTGCTGATACTCAGGAAATCCTAAACCTGATCTGCACTTAAAGATTTCCTACTTCTTGGCTTTCAGATATTCTAAACCTTAGACACTAACTGTGCCCTGGACTCCCAGGAAGCAGAGTGCTCTAAAGTGCTTTTGGCAGAGGGGTGGGGGGCGGGGTGGATTGGTAAGCATGGAAGTCCTGACTTTTCTAAAGGGAAACATCTAGGTTTATTCTGCATCCTGAACCACAGTGGGATTTCATGTAAAGATGGCTTTTAAAGTGATAAGAGTCAATCCCAGCATTTGAGCTCCAGCTCTGGTAAAGGCGGAGGTGTCAGGAGGCAGAAGTTTCATCCTCTGACAGCTTTACCACAAAGGCCCTGGGGTTACCTGGGAGGCAGCATGGCACCATGGATTATGATACAGGCGTGGGAGCAGATCCATCTGGCTTCAAATCCCAACTCAGCCATTTACCAATGGGCAAATGACTTACCCTCTTGGAGCCTCAGCTTCCCTATCTGTAAAATGGGGTTGGTAAAAATACCTACTTCTTAGGATCACCGTGAGGTCTGACTGAGGTAGTGCAAGAAAACCGAACAGCACAGGAGCAAACATACTCCTGTTTAAAATGAAGCAGCTGAATGCTCTGGGGGAGAGAGAGGCTCCAGTTTTCCGAAGACCCCACACCTCCCTGTCATTCCTGTCCTTTCAGGAACATAAAAATTATAACAAGAGGACAGGCCCCACTTCCACCAACAACTGGCTGTCTACCCTTTGATTCAGCATTTCCCTGAGGCCATGAATAGTTGCAGAGACTCCAAACCTATTAAGATTCAGACAATAGCGAAAAGTCTCCCAATACAGAACCCAAAGGCCCACCTAGGGTAAAATCCTATTTTGTAAAATAATCCCCTAGGTATTATCTTTCTTTGCCCCCAAGCACACGGATAATCAGGAAGGCTCACAGACTCTCCTCACTCCCAGCAAGGGCCCCGGGCAGGTAGTAACTGAGGGTCAGGCAGCCCACCCACCATCCGTGTAGTCCTCTGACGTGAGGCTCTGGATGTCACTGTTCTCCGAATCCGGGGCTTCTTTGTGTGCCGCTCGGCTGTTCCCTGAGCCGGCCACCCAGGAAGAGGTGGTTGCCTGGTGCACCAGCACAGTCTCTGAGCCCCGAGAGCCCCAGGCTTCACACAGTCCAGACTGGCCCGGGGCTTCTTCCTCGCTGCCTGCAGAAGAACAGGCCCCCTGGTCCTGCAGGTGCGGCTCCCTCGGCCCACTTCTCCCACTGGGCCCAGACCCTTCTGACAGCACAATCTGCACTCTGGGGTCCGCGGGCGGCACGCAGTGACCGGAACTGCCGTATACAGCCTCCTCATATGACGGGAGCGCAACCTGGACTCCGTCCACCATGATGGAGACCTGGTCTCCGGACACTCCCTGGTCACGCCTGCACCGCAGAAGGAAAGGACAAAGGAAGAATCAGAATACACACACAAGTGGGTATCACGATAAACACCACCAAACATTTCTGAGGGCTTACTGTGTACCAGGTACGGCACTAAGGGCTTTATACAATTCATCCCCTGGCATCCTCACCTGGGTCCTTCATCAAGAAGGCGGATGAGGCTCCAAGGAGTTAAGTAACCTGCCCAGGCACACAGCTGGTAAGGGAGGAAGCTAGGATGTGCATCCATTCCACCTGCTTCCAGAGACTATGTTACTAACCTCTAGGTACACAGGTACCTGGCCCTCTGGTCCTCTGTAAAAACTAGGAAGCTCGAGACTCAGAAACATAGCCACTGGTTCAGCACAGCTAAGCCAGCAAGTGGGAGAGCGGTGGCTGCACGTCCTGTGAACATGCCCTGCCTGTACACTGCCAGCGGGTACACTGTATGGCATGTAAATTCGTTGCTGTTCAGTTGCTAAGTCGTGCCCGACCCTCCTGCCACCCCATGGACAGGAGCCCACCAGTCTCCTCTGTCCATGGGATGTCTCAGGCAAGAACACTGGAGTGGGCTGCCATTTCCTTCTTCAGGCTCTTAACCCAGGGACTGAATCCGCGTCTCCTGCATTGGCAGGCGGATTCTTCACTGCTGGGCCACCAGGGAAGCAAATTACATCTCCATAGAGCTCCTTTGAAAAAGAGGAGAAGGCAAAGAAACACCGTGATCTTGAAGTGGGACACTGGACTCAAAAACTGAAGGAAGAATTCTGTTCTTTTGACTCAAGGCACTTTACTTGCCTTTTATTTTTTAAATTTTGTAAACTTAAAAAAAAAACCTGTGGATTATAACACCAATGTCTGACAAACACAGAAAAACGTACAGCTGACGTATTCCAAAGGTGATGCTAGTGTATGGGCTTCCCCAGTGGCTCAGCAGGAAAGAATCTGCTTGCGATATAGGAGATGCAGAGAAGCGGATTCGATCCCTAGGTCAGGATGATCCCCTGGAGAAGGAAATGGTAAATCACTCCAGAAATCTTGCCTGGAAAATCCCACGGACAGAGGAGCCTGGTGGTCCAAGGGGTTGCAAAGAGTCAGTAATGACTGAGCAACTAAACAACAATAATGCTAGTGTGTAACCTCTATCTGGGTCAAGAAATAGAACCCTGCCAGCACCCAAGCCCCAGCACCTCATGACCATTCCTATCACCTCACCACCAAAAGTAACCACCATCCTAACTTATATTAAAATCATTCCTTTGACTTTTATTTTAGTAAGTTTAATGCCTAAGCATGAATTCTCCAACATCGTTTAGTTTTGAAATTCTGTGACCTTTTATGAATGAGATAGATAATAAACGTGTGTGTTTGTGTGTGAATAGGTGTGTCTGGTTTTGTATTTTACTCAACATTATGTTTGGGAGATTTAGCCGTGCAAATACCTTTTTTATGGATCACTTTTATACACAGACTCCCGCCCCAAACCAAATCAATTTGGGGATTGAGGCCCAGGTGCTGGCACTTGTTTTTAGTTCCCCACTGGAACCTCTCTGTGCATCCAGGAGTGGGGACCCGAGAGATAGGGCAGTGGCTTGCAAACACGAGCCTGCCTCAGAATCGTTTGGAGTGCTGATGAAAGGCAGAGCCTCTCATTCTGTCAGTCTGGGTGGGGCCTGAGAATGTGCATTCCTAACAGGGTCCCAGGTGATGCTGCTGCTGCGGGGATCACATGTGAGAACCACTGACATAGCGGAAGTAACATGGCACTAGAGTGGGACAGACTGGGGTTTCAATCTCACCTAGAGCAGTGGTACCCAACCTTTTTGGCACCAGAAACTGATGTCGCAGAAGATAATTTTCCACAGACAGGGGTGTGTCAGGGGGTGGTTTGGGGAAGATTCAAGTGCATTACTTTTACTGTGCACCTTATCTCTAATCTAACACTGCCACTGACTTGACAGAAGCTACTGGTCTGTGGCCCAGAGGCCAGGGGTGGAGGGGGGCCTGACCTAGAGGGATGACCCTCTCTGAGCCTCAGTTTCCTAATCTGCAATGATCCTGTGAGGATTATGATGATGGATGCAAAGCAAAAGCACACTCCCTGGTACACCTGGAAGTTTAACACACGCAGGGCCCTCCCCTTTCCCTGGGCACACACGGACCAGCAGACCCACCAGCACCCCTCTGCCAGTCCAGGGCCGGCCCCCCCAAGTGACGCCTGCTGCCACCGCCACTGGGCTCACCGGCTGTGATGGAAAGACTTCAGCTTTGGCTGCAGCAGCACAAACAGCACCACGAGGAGGAGAATGAGTGCCACGGAGCTGGCAGTGGAAGCCACGATGGACAGCGTGGGGACCCCGAGCGACGTGTGGGTGTCTTTGTCTATGGAAACAAGCCATCATCAGCAGTGTTTTGTACCCAGACACAAGGAACGTGAGCCCCATGGCTGATCTTCAAAGGCCCCCTGCATGGTGTCACGCTAGTATGTGACATGAGACATGCTAGGTATGGCCAGGGTCGCCTTTGGAGCAACGGTGCAGAGTGGCTTTTATGTCAAGGAAAATGGACATTTCCCTATTGTGTTCCTGAAACTAAAATTCCCTTCACCTTGGACCGCTGAGGACCATCTAACACCTAAATTCACTTACCCCTAGAGATCTTACCTTTATAAACCCCAGCTGATCCTGTCCTCAACAGCAGGTTGAAAGACATGAACCATTCAAATGCACACATCTTTCCACCATTTAAAGTTCCACCCATGTGGCAGGAAATTTTAAAAAACAGGGCTGTAATAACCCTCTGTTCTAAGGTCCTGCATCTTTAGCTGTATATCTAAAGCTGGTCCCCACCCTTCTCCAGGGTGTCATTGTCCTGAAACTGGAGTGAAAAGCCCAGAGACGGCTGCATGACACACACTTTCCCCAGGAGGCTGGACCTCATGTCATGTACGACAGGAGGAGGCTGAGGGGGAGCGCGCTTCTGTCCAGCTGGACCACGGCTCCATAACAAAACAGTGCCCTTCCATTCAGGGAAAATAATATACCAGAGACACTACAGAAGGTGCTCGCATTGTGCCCGTGTGTTAGCAGAACACGGTCAGAGGTCACCAGCACTGGGCTAGGGCATCAAAGGGACTCTGCATAGCACAGCAGATGCCTCAGTGGCTCGGCTGAAACGCCGCGGGACACACACCAGCAGTCCAAATGTCTAACCGAGACGTGAAACCACAAAGGAAGGGAGGCTGCCGGGCGTCAGAGGGGCCACGCTGCCCCCCCACAGCACAGGGCCCTCTGGAGCGAGTGCGCGCCACTTCCCGGGAGCTGGAAGGGAAGAAGGAGCCCAGCAGGAAGTACCCCACTCTCGCCTGCCAAACTGACCCTCGTTGAGACGGCAGCTGATCTCCATGGCTGGTTTCCACTCGCCATTCTTACACGTCAGGTATTTGTAGTCACCCTTCAACATGTAGCCTTCGGCACACAGGTACTCAATGACGCTGCCGGAGTTCAGCGGGTCTCTGCAGGGCCGGGGGTGGCAGATGTAGCCACCATTCTCTGGCTCTGGCGGCAGGGAACACACTGCAGAGATGGAGAGAGAGGAGGTACTGTGGTGAGGTTTTCCAGAGGGAGCACTGTCAGCAACACAGAGAGGGGCAGTGCTGAAGGCCTCGGCAGGAAACCCCCCAGGAGCAGAGTGCCAGCCCCTTGGAAAGGCTGCTGCCCAACGCTGGGAGCTCAGGTTGTCAAAGACAGAGGGAGATGCCCTGGCAACAGGGGAAGCTGGGCTGCCAACACTACGTCCCCTCGGCTTCCCCCTCCCTACTGCCTGCAGAGAACCGCATCCTTCACTCAACAGTAGACTCTGACCAAGCCAGATTCACAGAGACCTAGTGTGTAATACGGTTTTAATAAAACCTACTGGAACACAACAAAACCAAGTGACAGGTGGTAAAACACCAGTAACCTGCACGGGGGAAATGTTAGCCTTGTTTCCAGATCAGGATCAGAAAGGACTCCTTTGTGTGATAAAACGTGCCTTCTTGGCTCAAGAGGGGATTTCTGATGCATTTCCTGGGAGGCTTCCCAATCCCCCCGCACCACGCATTCCCTGACCTGCATGGTTGCTGGCATCACTCGACTCCATCCCACAGTAAAGCCTGTATTTTTCATTGAGGTAGGTCTGCTCAGTTTTAAAAGCACCTTCATTCATCTCCTATCTTATTTATTTGTTCTGACAACTCTGTGAAGTAGTTATCATGCCTCCCCTTTGACGATGAGGACACTGGTCCACAAAAGTTAAATGACTGAGCCAAGTGTGAGGCAGAGAGAGTCAAGGGCAGACCGGGGAACACAGCTGGGTCTCCTGATTCAAACCTGTGCTCTTCCCACCAGCAGACACTGCTTCCACCCCAGGAGTAAGTGGGCCTTTAAGGACTGTGTATGTCAAGGCTACCTCCCCTCTGAACAAGGGAGATGGCAAACGGTACCTAAGTGCGGGGGGAACTCAGATGGAGACAAGCTGCGGTGACAAGCTCCCTGGAGCGGCCCAGGGAGAAGGCGGCCTCCGGTTCCAAGGCCTGGGGAGGACGTGAAGCACCTGGATGGGCACTGCAGAACCGAAGAACCCAGGCAATAGATTGAGGGGTGTGCCTCGAAAAAATAGGAAGGGGACAACAGGAGCACTCAGGGATCATTGTTTGGAAGAAAATACGCTGGCAGGTGGCCAGGCACTCACAAACTTCAGCTTAGCCCAAGCCTTACTAACACAGGAAAGATGAAAGTCTCCAAAGGACTTTAGATTTTGCTGACAAATACCCTGTCCCCATCAAGACATCACAAGGATGTCAATATGAAAATAAAAACTGCTGGGTTTCTGGTTTTCACTTCCTCTAATAGACCCAGAGTTTCTGACTGTCTGAGATAAGGTACTTTCCCTTCATGGGACTGCCCACCACTCTCTCAACCAAATACCACTTTCCTTCAGCCTGCAAACTGCTCTTATGTAAGATGCCTGCCAGTCAAGAGAGGGGGCGGGGGGATATGAAGTTAAAAAGAGATGATGGTTCCCTGCCCTCAGGCTACTTATCACTGAGATTTGGAGAAAAGACTCCATTACTTAACCTATTAAAATAATGAGGGAGGTCCACAGGTATCAGAGAAGTCTGAACGTCCTCTCTGAAACTACTAGGAGAACCCAAATAAGCCCACTCAGCGCCCTCCAAGGACACACCGTCATCTCTAGACTCTTCCCACGTCACCCACCTCGCCCAAAGTCTAGAACACAAGGGAGACACAGGCATCACCTCTCCTGGTGCCTCTCTAAACTCTGGCCAAGTCGTTCAAAGAGCTGGCCAGCTGGATTTCCAAAGGAAGCTCAGCAAACTGCTTTACCTTGTAACACTCTCCCTCTTTTGTTCAGGGCAACAAGCCTGCCAGAGATCTCCTGGCTCTCTCCAGATTGTGTCTAATTGGTTCATTTCCTCAGTGTAATTAATGCTGAGCATCCCACAGCAGCTCCCAAAAGCAGGCAGGACTCACACAGGTCGTGTGTGGGGGAGGACAGTCCCAGGGGAAGGGCTGCTGATTCTCAAGTCATTCCGGCTCTGCTGGGCACTTCTGCCCATAAAGCCCACATCGTCATGGAATCCCTGAGAGGGCCCTGGACATCACCTGGCACTCATTATATCAGTACAAAAAGTGAGGTCTACAAAGATGCTACTTACAATTCATTTCGATTCCTAATTCCTAATTCACCTAATATTTACTGATGACTGGGTAGGGATCACTGAGATATGCTCTGAAAAGGGATGAAAAGATAATAAGCACTTCAGGTGCATGTGTGCTCAGCTGCTCAGTCGTATCTGACTCCTGGCGACCCTATGGACTGTAGCCCACCTGGCTCCTCTGTCCATGGGATTCTCTAGGTAAGAATAGTGGAGTGGGTTGCCATGCCCTCCTCCAGGGGATCTTCCCAACCCAGGGGTCAAACCTGCATCTCCTGCATTGCAGGCGGATTCTTTGCCACTGAGCCATCAGGGAAGCCCAAGCACTTCGGTTACTTGTAGCCAAACAGGGGTATGACAAGTAAGTCCACACGTGTCTTTTAAAAGCTTTTTTCTCCATGGCTTCTGAGTTTTATGTCGTGACACATTTTGGAGAGTATGTTTAGGACACTTTTGTAAACGTACTCTCCAATATTTTCTTCTCAAGTTTAACAGACTGGGTCTTTGTTATGTAAATAATACCTTCGGATGGGAAAATAATAATAATAGGAAAAAATAATCATAGGAAATATATACCTGGAAAAAAAAGTAAGAGGGTGAGCATAGAAAAGTAAACCCTCTTTCCCAGTCACTTAGTGCTTCTCCCCAGAGATACTCCACACAGATTTTACTCTATACATGTCAAAGAAAGGGATTAGCGCTGCAAGAGGGGGAGTTCAGAGCGGAGAGATCAACCTTGTATGGGGAAGGCCAGGAATGGCTCCTGGAGGAAGCGGCATTTTCAATGGGGCTTGATTTCAGCAGGATAAGGTGGTGGTGGCTTGAATCAAATGCTCCAAAGTAGCAAAGTGTAGATTAAGCCCAGAGAACATACAGTAGCCTAGGTTAGCTTGACTGCATAAGAAAATTTGTCCAAATAAATAAATAATGATGATAGCAGTAGTGGCAGCAATAACATTGTCAAGAAACCATCTTGCAGAGGGGCCTTGGCAGCAACAGGAGGTGTTCACACCATATTCAATGGCTGAAACCACAAGAGGAGCTGACTTTGATGGAAGACGAACAGAGGAGGAGAAAACCTCTGGAGAAGGTCAGCAGGAGAGCAACCCTCACGCAGGGAAATAAACTGGCTTAAAAAGTTCTATGAGGATCATACAAAAGAAACAAACTAGGGTACAGCAGACTCAGCATCACAAAGGGACTGCCCCAAGTCAAAGGAAGAAATAAGGAGGTCTCAGAAGGAAAAATCACAAAAAGGCATTATTGTTTTAAGATACCAAGAACGTAAGGAAAAAATACGGCCCTCCTGCCCAATCAGAAAGCAGAGTGGGAGCGTCTTGGCAAGGAGCAGGCATTGGGAGAGGACCCTCAGCGATGACGCTTGAGCATCAAAGGACCGGGAAGAACATAAGGAGGAGCAAATAAATCACTCAGTGGCTTCCAGGAGCCACTGTTCTGGGCAAGAGGCTGACTTAATCTGTGCATCAGGCTTGCGCTCTCTGACAACCCCAGGTCCGCAGAGGGAGTTTCAAGCCCTCTTGTTCTTAGCCCCAAGAAGACAATGAACTCATCTGATTTGGCAAAGTTGCATAATTTTAAAAAGAAGAGGGAGAAAGTCAGAAGATGGAAATTTTACAGGAAAAAAAAACAATCAATCAGCTCCCTTTAGCTTCCTTCTCTGCTTCCCATTATCTCTTACAGCCACGTTTTTTTGGCCTCCCATGAGCACAGAAAGCAGCGAGGTAATTCTTCGGGGGGCCTATGGAGTGCCCAGGGCACAGCTGTCATGAAGCAGGAGACATCAGACCAGATGGGGAGGGAGCAGAAGGTGGGGAGGCAGAGTGATCTGGCTGGTACTCCCACCCCTGAGCCTAAACCAAGAGCAGAAACCAATAAGAACCCCCAACCAGCCCTCAGATAATGTGATTTTCTTCTGCTGTTCTGGGGACCAGACTTTTAAGAGGAAGAGAGGAATCAGAGACAAAACAAATTCTAAGATTCCATAACAAACGAATCAAAACAAGCTCCAGGAATGGCCTTGGAGTCAAAGTGTCCAGTTTAACACACTGAGCCCCTTTTAAATTGAGGTGTGGAGAGTAGGGAGGGTGAAGATCAGCTTGAGGAAGGGAAGTGAGTGAAGTGAAGTCGCTCAGACTCTTTGCGACCCCGTGGACTTTAGCCTACCAGGCTCCTCCGTTCATGGGATTCTCCAGGCAAGAATACTGGAGTGGGTTGCCAGGAAGTAGAATGCAAATACCTAGAGCAGTTAAAAAGACTCAACAGAAAAGACTTCCATCCGACGTCAGACATCAGGAAAACCCTGGCCTCCCACACATGAACATGTATGAAACAGATGACGAGAACCTGCCGCATGGCACAGGGAACGCTACTTACTGCTCTGCAGTGACTTAAGCAGGAAGGAAGTTTAAAAGAGGGGACATGTGTATACTTATAGTTGACTCACCTCACCGTACAGCATAAATACAACACTGTGAAGCACCTATACCCCAACAAAACACGAAACACCCCCCAACTCCCTCACATACTGCGTGTGCGCCGTCGCTTCAGTCGTGTCCGATTCTTTCCGGCTTTAAGTGCCTGGGCTTAAGAAACTGTTGGTGTCCACCTGCAGGTTTGAAATAATGTTGTTTTACACTAAAACCAGTGTAGTGGCATTTAGAACACAACTGGGCACAGAGAACTAGGTGCTTAGTGAAGGTGCTGAAAAGGATGGCCAGAGAAAACCTTCCTGGGAATTCAGAGGAGAAGAAAGTGGTTCCCCCAAACCCAGCACATCAACACAGCAGCTGTGGTCACAGGGGACACAGCTGAGGCGGCATCACACGTGCCCCTATG